CCTCAGAGGTGTGGCATATCAAGATGCTGATCAGACAGCATGGGGATTGCACAGGTGTGCCTTAGGCTGGCCTCAATAAAAGGCCACTCCAAAATGTGCAGTTCCATCACACAGCACGATGCCACAGTTAGGACATTATAAGAGACACACAGAACAGTCGCTTTTCATCTTGAACCAGCGCTGACCACTCAGTGGAGTACTGTGAGCAGGAAGTTAGTACCTACAACCTGACAGTCTATGAATTATTATTAATTAGGCAGCAAAGGGGCAAACTGCTACATGGAGCATGAAGGGGAGGGGGTCGTGGCTCATCAGAGATCAGCACATGCATGTTTTTATTTGTCCTCTCTTGCAGACACTGAGCATGTGGTGCCAGGGCTGGACTGAGACAAAAAAATGGCCCTGGCATTTCTGGCCCAGGTGGCCCACCAAAATCAACTGGACACATCTCACCAATACCCCAGACTTCCATTTAAGGGCTCAGATTAGGTGTGTGACGAAACACCTAGTGAATGAGACGCAGGTGAAAATGTAATGTAATATAATGCAATAATAATAATGCATTTTATTTAATGGTGCCTTTCATAACACCCAAGGTCACCTTACAAACAATAAACAGATCACTACATAAAACAATACACACAACAAACAAGCCGCATACAGATAAAATGCATTAAAAACTCAGTACAACATGTAATAAATGTGTCTTAAGATGCATTTTAAAAGTCAACAAGTAGTCGCTATTGCGAACATCAACGGGAAGAGAGTTCCATAGGCTGGCGCAGCACAACTAAAAGATCTGGCACCCATGGTATTTAGTCGAATCCGAGGTACCACAAGAGAAATTGAAGATGAAGATCTGAGAGCACGTGAAGGGGTGTAAACATGGAGACGTTGTGTAAGGTATTGGGGGTGCAAGATTATGAAGTGCCTATAAGTAAGTGGCAGGATCTTAAATTCAACTCTATACTTTACTGGAAGCCAGTGCAATCGCTGAAGAACAGGAGAAATGTGCTCAGTATAAGGAGTTCTAGAAAGAACACGAGCTGCAGAATTCTGAACTAACTGAAGCTTATGTAGCAATTTGGAGTGTGAAAAGAGCATTACAGTAGTCTATACGTGAATCGACCAGGGCATGAATAAGAACTGCAGTATTATTATTTGAAAGAAAGGGGCAGAGACGGTTAATATTACGCAAGTGGAAGTATGCGATCCGCCTGATATTATAAATTTGAGCTTCAAAGGATAGTGTGCTATCCATGATGACACCCAAAATTTTAACCTGTGAAGAAGGATAGATTACAGTATTGTCAATGTACAAAGAAAGACAATTAGATCTAGACTAAACAGATCGAGTGCCAATAAGAAAAGCCTCAGTTTTGTTGCCATTTACCTTCAAGAAGTTAGCAGAAAGCCCATCTTTAATTTCAGCTAAACAGCTGGACAAAGATGGTGGTGGGAAAGAACCAGTGGGTTTGGCAGACAAGTAGAGTTGGGTGTCAACCGCATAACAGTGGAAATAATCCAATATTTCCTCAAAATATAACCAAGAGGGAGCATGTAAATAATGAAAAGAAGCAGGCCCAAGACAGAACCCTGGGGAACACCAGTGGTGACTATAGATGTTCTTGATCGAAAACCTTTTAATTCAATACGCTGACTGCGTCCAGATAGACATGACCTAAACCAAGACAGAGCAGTGCCAGTAATACCAATAGAAGCTAATCTGTCAAGAAGTATCTTATGTGAGACAGTATCAAAAGCAGCGCTCAAGTCTAGAAGGACAAGTATGGATAAAAGCCCAGAGCCAGCTGCCAACAGTAGGGAGGCGCTCCCTCCTGCATGGCGGTGGTGTGCGCCCATGACCCTCCCTGCTAGGCCCCCCCATGGCTGGCATCCCTGGCCTTTAGGGGACCCCTCCCCCATGGGTCGTGGCTGGGCAACCCCCCCCGAACCGTGACGGCGGCAAGGGCAGCAGAGTGGCTTCCCTTCAGGGCCACCAGGGCGCCTCATCAGCAGGTCCGACCACTTTTGAGACACTACTCGGAGTAGCTTGCTTCGTGCTCGATGCACAGATGGATGGACAGACTGATCCGCTGGGTTCCTGGTCAGGAAGAAGACGGGTGGTGAGAGGCCCATCCTGGACCTGTCACTGTTCAACAGGGCGATTATGGTGAGACCTTTTTTGCACGTTAACGGTGAAACAGGTGATGGAGTGTGTGCGCCAGGGAGACTGGCTCTCCTTCATCGACATGAAGGATGCGTACTTTCATTTCCGGACACAGGAAGTTTCTGCAGTTTTCATTCCAGGGCGCCCAGTACCAATACAACCGCCTTCGGTTACTCCCTGGCTCTGCGCACTTTTTACAAGTGTGTCGAGATGACCATGGAGCCGCTGCGGTGGTCGGGCATCAGGGTCCTGTTTTATCTGGACAACCTGGGACCCGGGATGAAGCGGTGGTGCAGACAGCCCAGCTAGTCGCACACCTGTCTTACCTGGGCTTCATGGTGAACTGGAAGAAGAGTGCTCCTTTCTCCTCCGAGAGACTCGCATACCTTGGCTCTCCTCTCTCCTGCTCTACCGTGCTGTCCCTCGAGCGGTCCCGTGCCTTCTGGATTGCCTGCAGTTTTCAACCTTGGCGGTGACTCTGGTGACTCCAAAGCGCACCAGCACATCCTGGTTTCCCCTTCTCCAGTGGCTGAGAGGCGACACCTGGAGGGCTTAGGTCTCTACCGGGAGGTGGTTCGCACCATCCAGGGGTTGAGGGCCGCCTCCGCTCAGTCCTCTTACTCCTCTAAGTGGTAGGCTTTCCAAAGCTCGTGTATGGACCAGGGGACGGGCCTGGTTGCCTGTCCGCTGCCAGTGGTGCTTTTGTTCCTCCAGTTGCTGATGGACTGGGGCTGCCGTTCAGTATGGTTAAAACCTACATTGCCGCCATTTCGTCCTGTCATGAGGGCTTCGGGGACAGGACTGTGTTCTCCCACCCCCTGGTGTAGCGTTTCCTTAGGGGGGTGCGGAGGCAGGCCAGTGATGTGGCCTGTTGCCCCACAGTGCCCCATTTGAGCCTTTGGAAACGGCGGACCTGTGATTCTTTTCGGCTAAGGTCGCCTTGCTCCTGGCTCTGACATCGGCCAAATGCTTCATGTACTGTTTGCTTTATGTACTTTTAGTTTTAACACTTAAAGACGTGATTAAAGTCTGACACACAGCAGTTTGTGTCCTAACCACAGGAGCCTTCCACTGAAGACTGACGGGAAGTCATTTCATGTTTTAAGAACTGAATAAGGATGATAAATAATTGATAAATGACTGAGGATGCTAAATTACCTACAGTTTATTTGAACATATGTACAGTATCTGACAAGTGAGTCCACCCCTCACATTTTTGTAAATATTTGATTCTATCTTTTCATGTGACAACACTGAAGAAATTACTTCCTACGTACTACTTTAAGGCAGTGAGCGTACAGCTTGTATAACAGTGTAAATTTGCTGTCCCCTCAAAATAACACATCACACAGCCATTGTGTAACCATTGCCAATGTCTAAACCGCTGGCAACAAAAGTGAGGACACCCTTAAGTGAAAATGTCCAAATTGGGCCCAATTAGCCATTTTCCCTCCCCGGTGTCATGTGATTCGTTAGTGTTACAAGGTCTCAGGTGTGAAAACTTTACATTGTAGTAAAGTGTAATTTCTTAAGTAGGGCGAGTCCTGAAAGTAAACACTGCTTTGGTTAAGCTGAATATGTTCCTCTCACCAGCTTAGCAACATAAACGGGGGCAAGAGTGTTGATTTATTCTTTTTTGGTTTTAACTGAGCTCTGTCTCTACATCACAGTAACAACTTTATGTCCATTGGCTGGCTGGAGAGTAGCTAGTGTTTGGAAGAGAGGAGAGGCAGCAGGTGGATGTCTTGTCACTAGCCATGTTTCCATCGTCGTTTGTTTATGTGCATTTTGAAGTATTGCATTAGAAAAGTTGATGGAAACAGCTAAATTTGAAAAAAAAATCCTTAATTTCTCAAAAGTTTTACACTCGCTTGAGGAGATTTTTGCCTTTGTCGAAAAAGAGTAAATGCACTAAATGGGAGATGGAAACGCTTTTGGCGAATAAGTTCTTGTAACTCACGTCTGATCAGCTGTTTCTGCTATCGGCGTCGTGGCGGATATTCCCAGAACTTATGGAGACATGTTAGGTAGCAGTTTGCCCGTTTGAAACACATTCCTGAGGACCTCTGTCTATGTTTCTCAGATCCCTGGTCCTCAGGTTCATGCGACTGGTTTTGTTTCTGGTTTGAACCCACATGTCTTGTTTATGACAGACATGTGTATCGTCAACTACTGACATAACTAGTCCTGTTGTAGCCTGGGTTGTACTTAAAAAATTCATATGACAATTAGATGGAAACATGACTACTGAGTGCTGCAGGTCAGTGTGTTTTTCCACCACTGTTTTTGAGGTCGTGTCTGACTAGCCGCTAGGCGAGCTTTATGATGCGTGTTTTATTGTGACGTCACAAGAAAGTGGAAGAAAAGGCTGGACTACAAATGAGCTGTGTTCAGTTCAGAGCAGAGTTTTCTGCGGGAGATGGGAACTCCGTTTGGGCTTTTTCACTTTACAAGCCTATTACATGCACAATAAAGTTTTATAACTCAATAAAGGAGAGGGGAAAAGGCCATAAAGTATAATATGACCTATTTAATTAATTGATTCATTGAAATTGATTTTGATATGACAGGTGTGTCTGTTTAACCTGCTCAACTTTATCATTTAACTTTAAGAGAAAAGAGTGAAAAGAATGCATTTACAGAAAAAGGTCGGCAGATATTTTCTGTGTTCATGTGTACCATCTTGGGTGTGATCTGGATAACAGACCACTTACAAGAGACTGATCATGGCTCATCTGCACAGGCATCAACCAATCACAGCAAACATACATCATGAGCTATTCTGTCACATCCTGTCTGTGTCTGTATATAAGTTGCAGCTCTTGGTATTTTGAAAAAGCAGAACTCCGGTCGACGCTGTTTTGCTCTGTTCTTTTCTTTTTTGCTGATTGTACTTTAATAAAAGACACTTTGAGTAAAGAATCTCAAAGATTATTTTTCCTCTCCTCCTCCTGCTGCAAGGTAAGGTTCTTCCACACTGCCACACACTGAGCCGAGGGCCACACTGGTCTTATTCTCTAGATCTGGAGTCTAGGAACTCGTTCCAGGTTGTGTTTGAATACTCTACTCCCTGATGAGAAACGGCGGACGCAAGGAAAGGTAGAAAGTCTGGAGTTAGACTTCTGATACTGAGGTAGGCCAGAACCTGATATTGAAACTAGCTTGTTATCAGGGGCCTCTCTCTGTCCTGTGGAGGATCTGAACATAATGCGCCGGGGTCTTTGGGTGGCGACCCGAGTTAAACTACAAGAAGCTAAAGTGTCTCTGAGATATTAGAGGTGTCTTGAAACTGAGTAACAAAGCAGCAAAAGCAGGCTGCTGCCCTGTGCAGTGGGGACTGAGCCTTGTCCTGGAGTAAAGCTTAAGAAAAGAAGAGGATCCTGCCTTCACTCTCCGGGGTGAGCGCTTCACTATAAAGGTTCTTTGTTTTAAAGAGAGGGTGTTGTGTATCCACAGAAAATAAATGAACCTTAATTCTGTATTTAATGTTTAAATATACTGCAAAGATGAGTCTATATCACAAAGTTTGCACATGAAAAAGTATTTGATAGAATTGGTGCGAAATGTCTTTAAATGTTTTTCACTTGACAGAAAATATAACAAGAGAAATCTAAAGATTATTCTTCATTTTATTTCTTTTTTTACCCTTTAAGGAATCATCTCATAAGATAAGATTACTTAAAGTAAAATTGCTGAACACATTGCTAAAGTCACCTTATAAACGTATGTTGCTTAAACTCATTGCTTCATCACCATGATAATAATGTTGTGTACTCATGATGTTTTGTAAGTAAAAAATGTATTTTTACTTAAACTCTTATACTTCTTGTCACAGTGAAGAGTATATTTCAGTCAGTTTATATCAAAGTTTAGTCCTTGAGTGTATTTGCTTATATGCACTGTTGAATCAGTCAAAGTGTGGCTTTAGTGTAGATAATGATCATGATTTTTAAATGTTCTGGAAATGTTTGGAATTTAAAACTGTTCTGGAACTGCGTCATGCACTGTTATGACAAAATATTTAGAACGATAGATGACGACTTTTGGTTTTAACCTTAAAGATGTGATGTAAAGTCTGACACTCAGCAGTTTGTGGCCTAACCACAGGAGCGTGCCTCTGAAGACTAACAGGAAGTCAGCCTCCTGCCAGCAGAGACCATGGAGTAATGTTTGTTGGTTAAGATGAAATGTATTAACAAGTGATGAATATGATGTTTAATTGATAAACCATTGAGGATGCTGAATTTCCAACAGTTTTTAATAACACATGTGTTTTACCTGACAAAGAGTATCAGGATATAGAAAGTGTATCACTGGTGTTGATGATATTAATTATTTTAATACACTCCTCCTAGAGAATGAATCCGATGGAAATCAAATTCCCGCTGTGCGATCTAAAGGCTTTAACGTTCCAACACTTGCTGTATAATCCCAGTTACGTTAGCGATCCATAGAGGAAGACATTGGGTTGTCTTGCTAGTTGTTAGCCGGCAGGTCCGTTCAGTCTTTTGCTCTGTCGTGTTCGGATCGTCCAGATGAGAGGGTCTGGCCCTTCGTCTGTTCTCCTCAGAGTTAGCAGCTTGGCTAACTCAGCTGGTGGCAGGGATCTATAGCGGGACTTTATGTTCTGCTCCAAGCGCGCCGTCAGGTTGGCGGCTTCAGCCGTCACATCCAGAAGAGAAGCGAAGACATGACGCCGAGTTTTTATTAATGAGGTGACATCATAGGTAACAGGTCCCCGGCCAATCGTAGCTGAGAGCTGAGTTCAGGGATCTGAGTTCATCGACGAAAAGATAAAAGTTCTGTTATGATCACAAATGAACAGCTTCCTCTGTGAGGTCCCTGTGATCCCAACAATATGCATCAAGTGTTTGTTCCAGAAATAATTTCAGAACAAACACCAACAAGGAAGAGTGCACAGTCTGTCCCCTGTCAAGTGGATTAATCATCATGTAAACCTCCTCATCCAAACTCAGAGGGCAGAGGGGCATCAAGTACAGGAGACAGGCAGGATGTCCTAAACCAATGAGTATTAACGTTAAACATTAAGTTAGTGAAACAGCTGGACGATGTTCTGTGGCTGCAGTAACGACCTCACATCAGCACGTACAGATATTTGTTCTTCTTTTCTTATTTCATTAAATAAAAGTTAAATGCGACAAATGTTGAGGAATGATGATAGAAAGTGAAAGACAGCAGTTTGTGATAGGTACACTGTGTTTGTGTGAACTTCACCTCATAGCTTTAGTGATATCACTGAACAATGTTAGGTAGATTAAAAACCTGCTCCCTTTAATAACCTGATCTCTCAAACAACAGGTTTCACTCTGAAGAATGGACGGTTTCTACTTTAACAACACCTCACAGGACCAAAGCTATAATCACAGGACATCACAGGTGTGGTGACATGCATAATCATTGCCATCAGCCTTCCTCTGACCCTGGTGGCCATCTATTCTCTTTATTCTATGGTATGTACATTCTGACAGAGTTATTTATTTCCTGTCTGTGTGGTGTGTCTGTCCTACAGTCCGTCTGTCTGTAATGGATCTGGATCTGGTTTGGGGGCTAGGTGTCAGGGGGCTATGACAAAGGCTTGGAATGATTTATAAACTGACAGGAATTATTGACTCCAGAATTAAAATGTATATCAAGCTGATTGGAAGATTCTCTGGAGGGCTCTGGATTCACCTATTTCAATGGCTGAACTCCAGGAAGCTCGCTTATATATGCCGAATAATAAAGTCCCAGGCCCAGATGGTTTTCCGGCTGAATTCTACAAGGAATTCTGGGAAATACTTGCGCCCACATTCTATAGGATGGTTATGCAAATTAGGGGTACTTGCATGTTGCCTCCAACAATGAACTCTGCTAATATCAGCCTGCTCCTTAAACCAGACAAAGACCCCACACTCCCAACCAGTTATCGCCCAATATCACTTATTAACGCAGATCTTAAAATCATCTGCAAAACCCTAGCAAGAAGGCTAGAGAAGGTCACTCCTGGTATAATACACTCTGACCAGGATTTATTAAGGGCAGGCACTCCACCAACAATACACGCAGGCTACTTAACGTAATAGACTGTGCCACTATTATATAACCTGGAAACTACAGTTGTTTCTTTGGATGCAGAGAAAGCATTTGACAGAGTAAAGTGGAAATTTCTATTCGCTACTTTATAGAAATTCGGATTTGGAAACTCTTTCATAAATTGGATTAAAATCTTATACAGTTCAACAAGAGCTTCTGTCAAAACAAATGATCATTCTTTTCCATGCTTTAGTCTCCAGAGGGGTACCAGGCAGGGTTGCACACTCTCCCTCACTATTTACTATTTTTATAGAACAGCTAGCAGCTGCTATCAGACAAAATAATAATATTAAAGGAATTCAAACAGAAAATATACACCACAAAATAAGCCTTTATGCAGATGATGTACTTTTCCTCCTAAACTCACAAACTTCTCTTTCTGAGACAATCACACTTAAAATAATTCTCATCCATCTCAGACTACTCCATTAACTGGAGTAAATCCATAGTTTTACCTGTAAAGTGTGATTTCCAGAGTATATCTACCACACTGCTAAAGTCTGGGAATATTAAATATCTGGGTGTCAATATTTCCTCCAGGGTGTCAGAACTGACATGGCTAAACTACATGCCTTTACTTAAATCAATAGAGGATGACCTTGTATGGTGGACATCATAACTTATATCACTCATGGGAAGAGTCTCCACCATAAAAATGATGGTCCTACCTAAAATCAATTACCTGTTTTCAATGTTACCCACCAAACCCTCTGCTGTCTGGTTCAAATCACTGGACTCAAACATCTCAAAATTTTTGTGGAAAAATAAACCCCCACAAATCAGTTTCAAAACTATACAAAAAGCAAAAGACGTGGTGGTTTAGAACTGCCAAATTTATATCATTACTTCCTGTCCAATAGACTACAATATATATCTCTCAAAATGGACCAATCAGAGCCCCCTCATGGATTGACATAGAACAAACATTCTGTAAGGAAATTAAAATTTCTGATATGCCATTCATCAGTACGTCATACCTGCTTTAAAAGCATTAACATAAGCGGGGTGCAGCTTCCCCCGGGACATGCGGTCTGGGTTCCTTTGCGCTTTGGGGGGTCGTGGGGTGCCCTGGCTACTGGGGGTGGGGGTCTCTGGGCGCTGCGCGGGTTGATCCGGTTGCGGTTTGGAGGGCTGCGGTGGGATTGTAGAGCGATTGTCGATGCATCTTGATGCATTGTGCTTTTTCCCCGGTCTCTGAATGGCTGCTGGGCGTTTAGTTTGTGCATGGGAGTCCGGGGGAGGCATTTCCTCGTTGGCTTGGAGGGACCAGTTTGCGTCCCTGTTTTGCAAACTGGTCCCTCCAAGCTTCGTTGGCCTCGGATCCATGCTTCCCCATTTCTCTGTCGGCCAGTTGTTGGACCCCTCTGGATACTGAAGTATAAAGTTAGTTGTCGGGATGTGCAGTGTGGGTGAGGGGCAGGGCTGTGCTCCGGTTTATTATGGGCTTGTGCCTGGAGTTCTCGGCCCTTGACCGGTGGGTGGGTTGGTAGTTGCTGGTTTGGCTGGTGTTGCACGGCGGCCTGGGGGCATGCTGCGCATGGGGGATGTCGGCTGGCGCGGGTGGCCTTAGTTTTTCCGGCGGCTGGGGGACGGCAGACTTTTATTAGCGGGTGCACGGTGACCTGCGCGAGGTGTTTGCTGCCGGCCTGGGACTTGCTGCAGGTGTTCTGCCACTCGCTCTCTCTCTCTTCTTATTGCATGACCTCTGGATTCGCGGGGGGGCATTGGGTGTCGCAGTGCGTGGACGCATTGGGCTCGTCACTTGTGCATTGATGTTGATGATTGCATGGCATTTGGGTGTTTTGCTTACTATACATACTATAGTATAGTACCATAACAATTCCTCACCCATCTCTTCTGATGGAGTGTCTAAATGACACGAAGCTGTGGCCCAATGTTAGCTACATCGACAATGTTAATTACTTTGTTCTATTTCGTATAGGCTTCGCCTTCTTAAGGCTATCACTATTGGGTTTACCCCTACGCGCACCTGTGCGGCACTGAGAAAAGTTGTCTATACCCACCCACAGCGTGGGCCTCTCCTATGTCCGCACCTTGGATAAGTACAACGGTGAGACCTGACCCTCGGCTCCCATTTTTTTCAAGCACTGAACTGTCTAAAGAGCAGAAGATTTCCAGTCAGAAAAGAAGAACAATGTCTTCCAGCAAGTAGGCCCGAGTGGGGTGGGACGCCACTACATCCGTACGGGTGTGTGGCATTTGTGACACAGGCTTCGTCCTGCCGAAGGACCTCCATACCGCCACACCTCGGACCGGAGCACGCCGGCTGAGCACTCACCCTAGGCTCACGGTGCTCATTCTGCACCCTTCTCTCCCCCAAAGAGAGGCAGCGCTGTTAAGGACAAGGAGGTGTGGTGGTCTTTCACTGGACAAAGCCCTCAACTTGTTACCGGAAGAGCGGGAGTCTCCAAGCCGCTCCCCGATTCCCTATTCCAACCTCGGGCGACGCCGGTCTCGACGTTGCTATGTTGCCATGGCGAGGCAAGTGATCGTTAGGCAACCAGGATGCTAATGTTAAGCTAATGGTAAACTAACCTGTGGCCGACATGCAGTCTGCCGCTGGACCAGCCGACCAGGCAGACCCCTTGTGTTCACATTGCTCCACATTGGCCGCGGCTATTGACATCTAGCATCCGGATTGCTTGCTGCTGCCTCTGCGCTCAGAGCAGATGACTGGTAAGCTATGGGTCAGAAAAAGCTGTGTTGTAATCTTGTTGCTCCTTTTCTGGAAGTTGTTGAGCAAACGCTGTCTGTGTCTGTCTAAGTCTAATCAGCCACATCAAACACATTCTCCACACTGTGTGAGCCAGTTGCCGTTAGCCAGGTGAAATGTGAGCCAAGAAATCTGCCGGGCAGTGTGTGATGCTGTTCACATTATGTACGCTCCACCGGCAGTGCCTGGCTGCAAGCGCGGATGTCGTGGGCAGACCATTTCCTTTGTTGCCTGTCCCTCCCTTCTCCCCCTCGTCAGAGCAGCAGTATAGTTATGAGCCCACGAGTGTGGCTGCCCCACCCCATGAGGAACACATCACCCCCCCACTACGTGGAGACTGTGTCTGCCTATGCCTTCCTCCCCCACCAGATAGCAACTACGCTGCCTTGTGTGTTCACTCCCTCCACACACGGGAGGATGGGCCATTCTAGCAGCTTTATATATCTCTCTCTCTCTGAAACCAACAGAGTTTCCTTCGCTGTGTGTTTGGGATCATTGTCTTGGTGAAATGTCCTCCCTCGTTTCATCTTCATCATCCTGGTAGATGGCATCAGAATTGACCAAAAATGGCTCTGTACATTTCTCCATTCATCATTCGCCAACTTATGCTGAAAACAGCCCACACCTTGATGTTTTTAGGGTGATGTCCCATGTGTCCTCCAAACATGGTGTGTATTATAGCATCCAAAGAGTTGAATGTTGCTCTCATCTGACCAGACTGTATTCTCCCAGTATTTCACAGGCTTGTCCAAATGTGCAGCAAACTTTAAACAAGCTTCAACGTGCTTTTTATTCTGTAACAGAGTCTTGCGTGGTGAGTGTGCATACAGGCCATGGTGGTTCCCTTCATTACTTATTGTTTTCTTTGGAACATTTGTACCTGCCAGTTCCAGGTCTTTCTGACGGTCTCCACAAGTCTCCTTGGCTCTTGGACTCTTCTGATAATTCTTTTCACTCCTCTGTCAGAAATCTTGCAAGGGGCAGCTGGTCATGGCCAGTTTCTGGTGAAATGATGTTCTTTCCACTTCCGGATTATGGCCCCAACAGTGCTCACTGGAAGTTTAGAAATCCTTATGTAACCAGTGCCATCTGTATGTTTTGCAAAAATAAGGCTGTGAAGGTCTTGCGAGAGCTCTTTGCTTTCACCCATCATGAGAAGTTCCTCATGTGGCACCTTGGTAATGACACACCTTTTAATAGGCCATCAGTTGGGACTGAACCAGCTGATATTAATCTGCACTGAGAGGGGCAGGACTCCCTTCTAAATACTTATAGATTTCAGCTGGTGTCTTGGCTTTCCAGGCATTTTCTTCTATCTATCTTCATTTGTTTTATACCTCGCTTTGTTCAATACATTATTACACATAACTTAATTTCTGAACTCACATCAACAGCACCTTTAGAAATATGTTTACTGGGTAAAATTGTGACGTCTTCAATACTTATTTTACCTGCAGTATAGATATTAAAAGACATATTCAACATCAGTATTGCATCAATACCACACATCTCCGCACATCACATCACTAAAGGAAGTACCACATACACATAGTGCACTATACTCTCTATTCAGAAAGGTGCAAATGACTTCACTGCACCAAACGTGAGATGATGGCAGCAAAATGTATTATAGCATGTCCTGAC